AGTCTGTTAACAGCTTTTGGGACAAACTACTGCTTAACGTCCCCATTGAAATTGCATTTGACAACCTCCCTTGTCCCTTAATGATGACTTTTAGCACCTCAGTATATATGAATAAAGCCAGGGTTTGACAACATTTAGAGCAGTTTCTGGGTTTTTCCAAGCATAGCTGCATAGGCCGAGATCACCCTCACTAACTTCTGATGCACACCCAGTCATTTTATTCTATAAGCAGGCAGATTTAAAGAGTTAAAGAGCGGATACTGTGCCAGAAAGTTCATGAAGCTGGAAAATGTTTTGTGGTTGAAGCACCAGACAAGCAATCTTCAAGTGTTTCTTAATACTTGAAGATTGGTAGCTAATCAATGCAAGGCTTGATTAGCTACCACTAGCATGGATGTAAAAAAAAAGAGAAGACTCATTTGCTGTCATAAGAAAAGGAAAAGGTCTAGGCTTCTTCTTTTGTGAGTTATCCTAATGTTCCACACAATTATACAATTTTGGGCCCATTGAGAATGAACATTAGCCACCTTTCCAGCTTAGAAATTATAATGGAGGTTTCATTATTGAAATTGTAGGCCTGTGTCAAGATTTTTGAAAAGAAGAAGAAAAGTATGACCCAATTTTGGTTTTCCTTTTTTAACAGTCCATTGTCCATCAGGCAATTTTCTGTTGGTAAAATTGCTAATCAGTTGCATACCCCTTAAAATCAGCCCCTGGAGTTCATGAACCCTGATAAGCACGTTTATGGCTCCTAAGCCTCCCAGGACTACTTATCCTTAAACGTCTAGCAGGAGAGAGATTTGAAAAGAAAGATTTCTTTTGGTACACTAAAATACATCTATCGAGTTTGTGTTGTGTAAAAGGACATCTTTGTGTAATCGATGAAGGCCCAGCAAGAACAACTTCATATCCATTAAGCAGGGTAAGATGATTCATCAGTGCCATAATAAAGGCCTGTGGTTAGTAACACTGAACAAAAGACTGCCGTGGTGGGTGATGATGGGTAATGGCAGAGAATCCACAAAGACATGCACGTGTTTGTTTATTTGTTTTTAAGCACAGCACGTCCAACCCGTGACTGTTTTGCAGATCATGTGAGTGCTGAGTCACATTGTGCTCCTTCAGACGAGCTCTCGGTTTGTCCTCCCGCTGCCTTTGCAAATGAGCGCTCTGCTCGCCAAACCCCTCCTCTCTCTCCACCTTTTCTCCACTGTCAGCTTTAATTTCCAACCGATATACCGAGAGGGGTCAGCTGGGAGAGGAATTTCTCCAAGGCCTGCCATTTTCAATCTCCCGCACCGTATTTCTGTTGATACCAATTCCTGTCAGATGTCAGATTTTACATTTAATCTCGTCACTCAGCCCATACGGTGACCTCAGACAGACATTCAAACAAAGATGGATGGGAAAGGGCACTGCCTTCAGAATTTTAAATGCAGTCAGATGTAATAGTTACAAACCCTTCCTTTGGTAAAGAGGCAGTAGTGACCTTATTCAAGACGATTCACAGCACCTTAAAGCGCCTGTTATGCTCTGCTAGCACATGGTTTAATTGAACATCAAACATAATTCTCTCTCTCTGCAGATATTGTTATGCTGGTGGCAAGTCATGATCAAAACTTCAGCACTGGAGTTGAATATAGAAAGTGATCTTTCTTGAAGCGGTTGACAGGAGTTTGCAGGAGGAAGCTGCAAAGGAGAGAGAGCGAGGCTTTGTAAAAATCCACATAATTGCTCTCTTTCCCTTGCACACCAGGCACCCCCGCTGAGCCAGCTACAGTCTCGTTCGTTTGTCCTTTTGCCACATTTATCTCAGTAGTATTCACATGATGGAGCAGCTCTTGGACTTGTCCTTGCTGAAGGTGGAGGAGAGGAGTTCCGTCTTGCTGGGCAGGTGTAGGAGTCTCTTGGAGAGGCGCCGGACTGGGCTGGGCTTATTGGTGGGTTGGAGTTTGTTCATGCAGGCCAGAGCCGCGGTACGGAAAACACTGTGGATGCTCTTCTCTGATGTGAAAGCTGAGCACTCCAAGTAAGCCTCGGCTCCAAGCTGCTTGGCTAATGATGAACCCTATAAGATTGAAGGAAGAGATGAGTCTGGGTGGGAGGAAATCAAAGACAAAGGAGGGGCTTGTAGACAGGATGGAGACAAAAGCTTAAGCAGATACTAAGGAGCAAAAAGTTGATGAGGAACAAACCTGTTCGTGGGAGATTGGAGCCTGTTTCTGATTGGACAGCTCCATGCGGGTGCACACGTCTGTGCGCAGATCCGTCTTGCAGCCTACTAGCAGGATCCGAGTGCTGGGGCAGAAGTCCTGGATTTCTGCTTTCCACTGCAAAGAAAGGAAACAGGTTTAACTGGGCAAGAATAGACATGAGGGATGGCAGACAACTGATCAATGAGGGCAAACTGCAGGGATACATACCTTCTTGAGTGCACCGTCTACTGTGTCCGGTCGGCTGATGTCAAAGCATAAGAGGACTGCATCTGAGTCGCTGTAGCAGAGAGGCCTGACATTGTCGTAGTACGGAGAACCTGACGAGACAGAAAATTGACAAAATGAGACTTTAATTTTCTAAATATGCAATTTAGGAAGCTAGCTATTTAGGATTCCGAGCTTCTCCTTTCATTTAGTTTGGTTTTTGCGTCTCGTGATCCATTCTGCTGTCTCTTTAGACCAGCCACTCCCGCCTGCACTGCTTTTCCTGCCTGCTGCATCACCTGGGGCATGTTCACTCTGACAAATGTGTGCACCCCACTGTCTTAAAAAGGCATCGCACACAATGGATCAGCTGCCACAGGTGCAAAGAATGGGTAGCATGCATAAGATGGTGTTCTAATACACCACAGTTTTCATTTTTAATAAATGTTTCGCTTGTTTTAGGGGCTTTGCTCTCCTTTACTAATTTACCACACAGTGTATACACCCATTCCTCTGCTAGTTATATGTCAGACTGGCAGTTTATGTCACATCTATGCAACATTGTGGTTCTGATTTTGATTTCTTTTTAGTCATTCAAAGCCTGAACCACAAAATAATGGCAAGAAAATGCAATTTTAAAAAATGAGTGTTTATTGAACCTTCTGACAATATTTTAGATTAATTAAATATTAATTTGAGCACATGAGTTTTAATTTGTATCATATTTGCTACATCTCGTAATTTTTATTTATTGTTGAATTTACTTTTTTTTTTTTTGATGATGAGGATGTAAAAGTCTCAAAAACACACAAAATCTCATGTATCAAATATAACACATTAGTCGTTACGGGGTTAAATTTGCCTGTACTTTGACTTTATCACTGCCTGGACTGTGTGCTTTCTCTGCCTGCCTGGATTTTCCATCCTTGAACCTATTTTTGTAAGTAAAGTTTTTACTTTTTTATTTCTGTAACCTGCTTCTTGTGTCGTGCTCTTCGGTTCTAAGAACTCAACCCTCCACAGTCGGCCACTCGGCACGAAACAACATCTTTGAAAACTGAAAGCTTTTTTTCAATTTTGTTAGCCAGCAAAAACAAAAATATGACTGCTCTTTCTACGCTGTGCCAGCTGACAGTATTATAATGTTCCATCACAGTCATCCTACTCACATTAACACAGTACAAACACAAACAGACACACACACCCCTGCCAAGCTCATGAGAGTTTCACAAAGCCTGGAGCCTTCCCACTGATGGGAAATTTTCCAGAAAAGTCCACTAACTCAGTGAGTCAGACAGTGCAACTATCTTTCAATGATTCAATAGAAAACTTTTCATACCAGAGTTTTGAATGATAAAATAGAAACCCTGGTTAAATGTTCAGGTAGACTCTTTACATATTTGTTCTCTAATAAAGAAATACACACTGGTGACTGTGGAGCTCATTTGAGTACAGTAAAGTCACTCTTATGTTCAAGAAAGCAGTTTGAGATGATCTAAGCTTTGTGACATGAGTGCACTGTGGTCATAAAGGGATGGACATGGTCAGCAATAATACTTGGGTAAGCTGTGGCTTTTAAATAATGCTCACTTGGTACTAATGACCCCAAAGTATGCAAAGAAAAATATTATCCACTAGACCGTCACAACAAACACTAAACAGCTGATGATAGGCAGGATGAATCCATGCTTTCATGGCGCCAAATTATGACCCTGCCATCTGTGAGCTGCAGCAGATGCTAAGTTTGAACTTCAGCAGTTTGTCTTGACCATCTTGACGTCTTGCTGTCGTGTGATTGGCTGATTAGATATTTGCAACAAGCAGCTGAACATGTGTACCTAAAATAATGGCCTGTTAGTAAAATTAGTATATCTCTATATCAAAATCAAAATCAGAATACTTTATTATTCCCTAATGAAAAAAAAAACAAATTCTAATTTTAAATTCTAATTCTAAACATAAATTCTCATGCAAGAGTTGGAAGGTTGTGGTTGGAAGGTATGTAACATTCTTGGAAAACACTTTTCTTTATCTTTGTAGTGAAGAATTCAAATAATCTCCATTCTGGATGAAAAGAGATGAAAGCAGCTAGCGTGGTTCTGTCCAACAATTAAAAAAAAAACAAAAAAACAATGTCTACAATGTCAGTGGGCTCTACTGTCAGACTGCTTTCCAGTCAAGCACAGTAACTGTTGTTATCGCCACTCACTGAACTGCAACTGATAATCAAAGCCGCAAAAATGTATGTGCTTCTTCTTCATTTTTCTGCAATGTTTGTAGTTCAAAACATTATTCAACAGCATCAAACACATTACTCTTGTCACGTCTGCATTGGCAGACGAGTGGAGGTTGAAAGTAGGACCCAAGATGCAGGCAGCGTCAGATGCAGGTGAACTTAAACCGGTAAGTGAAACAAACAAAAACGCGGCAGGAGAGAAACAGAAGCTAAGGGACCTATACTGGGAGAAACTAACAAAACACCGACACGAAATGAGGAAATAACAGAATGAGGCAGAAAAAGAACACAGACGAACCAGCAACGCACCCAAGAAAACACAGGGCTTAAATACACACAGGGCAATCAGGGAATGTGAGACAGGAGGGAGACACGGCCGGGATTAATTGGACATAACGAGACAAGTGGAAGCGAAACTTAAAACACTGACAAGAGAAACAGACCTTCAAAATAAAACAGGAAACACACCGACAACACTCTAAACACGCAAACTTAACACAGACTGGGGAGACAGAACATAGAAACTTGAAACGTGGAAAAGGAGAGCACAGAGGACACAAAACACTAGAGATAATCACAAACAACCCAAAATAAACAAAACCACAGAATATTAATAAACTTAAGCATAAACACAGAGTCCACAGACTACAGACCATAACAACTCTCACACAGTGGTATTTGTATAGACAAATAAGATATAATATACAGATTTATGTTATGCTTTTAGGTGGATTGTTGCTGTGTTTTTTTAGCTAACTGTCTCCCAGTTACATCTAGTGTTTTTGCTAACCCAACCTAAACTACTGCTAGCTGAAGCCTTATATTCAACCTGCTACATAAGGAACTGTTATCCATCTTAACGTAACACTTTTAGTTGTCCAAATGCTTCTTTTAAATCTATTTTTAAACAATTACTCCAAAACTTTATGCTGTATTTCACGATCCACAGTTTCAAATACTCAGCTCGATGGAAACCAGCAAAAACAATAAGAAAAATAACATCAAATTTTAGAGCACTGCTGTATAGTACCCACAATTTAATTATGATCATTTGCTTCACTATAGTCTTTTGTGGAGCAATCACTGTACTAAGAGGCTGTGTTGTCCACTTAAATCTCACTTAAAGGAGAGTAGTACCTTTAATACCTTTAGTATTAAAGGTTGATCTTCTGATTTCTTAGCCCTTGCAGATACCTTGACATCATTGCACATTTTTAAAATGTATTTGAAGGCTTTTTCCTCTATCAAACTTAAAGCCCTAACATATAAAAACCTCCTCCTGAGCATTGTTACATAAGTATAACACCTTGTTTGTCCTAGTGAATTATGACATTAAGGAAGCATATTTAGCTTACAATTCCAAAAAAAGCAACTTTTTTTATATCATTCTCAGGAAGTGCTAAAAACAGACTGACAGGACGTCCGCTTTCTATTGTCTTCCCTCTGCTACCTAATCACTCCGCACACACTAACACTAAAATGTAATTTCCTTCTCCTGTCCTCCGAGGTTAACTTCAAGCCTTCTGTGCTGATATAAGAGGTCATAATTATAGCAAAGATAGATTTTTCTATTAGTTCCCCAGCTGGACAAACAAACAATCATGTTATCTTGATGAGCTTTACAGTCATTAACTAAACGTTTTACAACAATATTACTGCCACGAAGCAAACCTGTTCAAACTAACTCTTGGTTGGTTCAGCCCGTCTAAAATTTTGGACTTGAAGCTGCAAAGTAAGTCAACTTACACAATCTCTATCTTTCAGATGGAATCAAAGCGGCCGTCACATAACTATCCAGGGTGATGTAAGGCTTGAGAAAGAGGAGGCAGACACATCTAAAGAGGACACAACTTCTAGCACCTACCACCTCCCACACATTAGCAGCCCCCTGCCTGGACACACAAACAAGACAAGCCAAGCCAAACACACGCACACAAAACCCTTTTAGCTGAGCAAACAGGAGCTGTTGCAACTGTCCGCTCTACTCTCACACAAAAAAGCAAATGGTGGGAGCTGCACTCATCTTTGTACACCAAGAGGACTATAAGACTGCCTTAATATAAATCAGAAATAAAACAGCCTTTCATATGCAAAAAAACTTAAGATGCACATAGAAATAGGGTAGAGATCTTTTTTTTCTCCTTAGGCAGTGTCAGTAAATCTGAAATGATAATAATTAGTTTATAAGACATATCAAATTCTGTGGACACCGAATACCTTAAGACATCTCGAGGAACCAATTTGTGCTTCAGGAAGTTATAACACTTACTCTTCATTTCTCTACTGAACAGTTAGCTTGGTTAAATGTGAAAATATTGAAATCTATTATCACAAATTGTCTTCTACATGTTTAAATGAAGACAACAGGAAAGCGGACTTAATAAGCAAAACAAAGAGAGATGGGAAGCTCGTGTTTATGTTTGTGCTCTAAATGTAAATCGGTCTTATGCAACGTTTCCTCTGGAAAGGGTGACTGTCCAGAAAGTTTTCACTTCGTGGGAGACAAACACACAAACCTACATTAGTTCAGTGCTGCTTTCAGTTACATAAGACCTCTTTTTTCAAAGCAGCACACACCATAAGGCAGTGAGGAGGTCATGCTTCTCTTTACTCTCAGTATCCCTCACTGGTGCCTTCTGTTCACAGCGACTGTACGCCGCACACACAAGGTTACACGCATAGTAAAGACGGGGCGCACACAAACACGCGCTCATCCACACTCGTGTGGACTTCCACCCCCTGCGTGGACGAGGCATCCCCCTCGCCCCCCTGTTAAACAACCCCACTGAAGGCCAACTGGCACCGCTCAACTTCCTCTGAACACAAAACCTCAGCCAGTGCTGTTATGAAATAAATCTGTAGTGCACCGGATGGCTTTGCTTATTGATCCTATTTACATAATTTCTATGTACATTCAAAGGTCAGCTGAAGTTAGCACAGAGGCACAAAGCACACGAAACATTTGGAACTAAAAAACACAAAAACAAAAGAAGAAACAACCGATTGTTTTCATGATACGTTATCTGCTGATTTCTTTTCACAGAGGTTATGGCGACATCTGCTAAGACCTTGATTTGTTCAACCTACAAGCCCAGAAATCTTAACTAAAAAAAAAAAAAAAATCACATTAAAAAAAACCAGAAGCAGCAAATTCTGGTGTGTGCTTTATATTTAAGACCTAAATAATCCAATCTACTTTTGCTTTACTCTTTGTGACATTGATAGCTTGACTTTGTCCACGTTGAGGCCAGAGGCCAGCAAATTCAGCCTTGATTGATCAGCTGAGTGTGCTGGAATTGAATCAGCTGCTAAATTGATTATTTACTTAAGGCCGTTTTCGAACACAAATGGTAAACACCACATTTTTTATTAGTCTAATATCTTTGTAAACTGCATATATGAAGGTTTTGGTCTTGTATTGAAACACACCAGGCTTGCTGGTATTGTTTTCAGTTTTTATGATAGATAATAAGTAATTTAATGTTGAAATCACAAAAAAAGGATGTAAGGATCAAAAAGCAACAACCAGCAGATTTTTTTTATGTGTCTACCAGCCATCAGGATTATTTATTCGTAATAACAGTTTCATAGTTTTTCAAACTGGGCTCTCTTTTTAATCTAGATTTGGCTCATTAGGATTTCAGATTCAAAACTGGATGTTTGGCTCCAGATGTTCTTAAAGTAATCCAGCAGGCTTGCGGCTCAGGCCTGCCGATCACTGATCTCTCAGCAGATCTCACACCACTGAAAAGCTGCTTAACTGCATCAAAACAGGATTGACAGAATGTGAAGACTGAGTAAACAGCAACAAAAGTGTAAGCCAAACAATGCACGGGACGTGGTTCGATTCACCAACTCCAGGCTGGCTGAGTTTCCCAATAATGATCCTTTATCCCAGCAGTGAACCAAATTACCTTACTTTACTGCCCAACCTAAGCAGCAAAAGTTAAAATAACACTGAATTGAAGGTAGACAGAAGAGGAGCTCACCTGATGTGTCCCAAAGGCTGAGCTCCACACGCTGGTCTTCAAGCTCCAGACAGGCTGTGTAGTTCTCAAACACAGTAGGGACATAAGTCTGGAAACAATTAAAGAAAGAGGTTTGAAAAAGACAAACACACACAGAAACAAGTAGATTTAATTAATCAGTCAGTAAGAAAATCAATTTAATTAATCAGTCAGTAAGAAAAGAAATTAAATTTTGCTTCTCTTTTTTTTTTTTTTTT